GCGGCTGGGAGTGAATGAGCCCCAGGCCACAGCCCAGCCCCAGCCCGGTGTGGTCCTGCAGCGCGGCGATGCCCTGGGTTTGTGCCGTGCACTCGGACACGTTTCTGTTCACACTCAGGAGACCCGGGGGGATGCAAACCCCTCGGGGCCGGAGATGCTGCAGGGCTGCGAGCACGGAAGCCCGTGCTACAGCTGCGGCGCGCGGGTGACACGAAGCTCATTAGCTTGCCCAGTAACATCTGGTTGAGAGCCCACCTCAACCAGTTGACCACATTGTTGTTGGTTGGTTTTATAAAGCGGGCTTTTTGTTAACGGCGTGATGGATTGGATCTGAGATGTGAGAATGCAAGAGTGTGACTACTGTCCTCCAGACCTGCTTCTTACCGTAGGGTGAAATGAATTCTAGTCAAGGAGGCAGGATGATCCGAGTGATCTTTTTCAGACCAATGTTTAGAGTAACGGCTGCGTACCCCAGCAGGATGGGACACAGCTTATGGCGGGAGCGCAGGGCTGGAGGCACTGACATCGTCCCCGCTGGCCTCGGTGGTGCTGTACCATTAAGTATCTTTTGACTGTCCTTGGGAAATGTTCTTCTAACTTGTTTTTAAAAAACTCACGGTAAAGGAGATGCTACGGTTTCTCAAAGTGGCCTGTTTTTTCAGCCAGCATTGCCATGTTGGGGTTTTCATAACATAAACCTTTTTTGCTCGAAACGAAGCTGATCATTTTTTATGTTTCCTGGTGGCTTTGAGGGAATAATTGGATGTTGGAAGATTGCTGTCACATCCTCACTCAGTTTTTTCTTCAGTGGATTAAAAAATGCTCAGGACCTTCAAGCTGTCCCCCTCAGTTGGGATTTCTAAAGAGAATTTTCACGACTAATGCGGAAGGCGTACCTCAGACATCGGGACAGCACGCCGGGCAAGTTATGCTCCACTGCTCAAAAATCTGGAGGCATCAGGCCTTGACGATGAATCACTGCTTCTCGGTTTAGTGTAAGACTGTCTTTTTAATGAAACAACAAACTTTTCCCTAACATCTGGCTCTTGAAAACAGTAAATAATTCTGTTTCTTCTTCTCTAGAGCTTTTCCAATAATTCAGCCAGTCTCAGACACCTGGCAGCGTTACACGTGGTGATAACTAAAGACCTTAGACTGGAAGGTGCCTGGCAAGCCTGACTTTAGGGGCAGCGCTTTCCATCTCTGGGGCATCTCGGGGATAACAGACCACCTGCTGTGGCCCTGCCTTCACCAGGGCTCGCAGCCAGCTACAGGCATCCTCTCAAGCTGGCTCCAGAGGGTGCTTCACAGACACGGTTCAGGTGCTGAAACGCTCTAGAAACACTGACTCAAAAATCAGTGTTTGGCACCTGAATTGGCTTCAAACCACAGATCTATAAAGTCTTGTTTTTCCTGCGTAATTAAGGCATCTTCTTGTTGTCTTTCGTTCTTACACCTGTGATCAATCTGCCCAGCCTACCGTCCTCTGCGCGGACAGACCCTTCCTTCCTCACCCCACTGATGGACAGCCTGCCCAGGTCCTGCACCAACCTTAGTGATGACATCTGGCTGGAAAAAGAAATTGCCAGCAGAATTAACTGCCTAGCAGCCCTGCATCTGCAGCTTTTGCCTGCTCTGTTTGTCCAGGAAAATATGGATCTGTTGTTCATCATGACAGCTGCTGGGCAGGACAGGGAGGAAACATGCTGGCACCAGTGACAGACCGGTGTCTACCTCCATTAGCTGGCTTGAGTAGCACTGAAACCCAAGGAGAGATGCGTTGAGGTGAAAAGCAAGGAAATGCCAACAAGCAAATAATGGCACAAACTTTTAGAGAGGAGCCTGGAGGTTGTCACCCAGGGGTGACCTGTGCTGGCCACCCCCGGAGGTTTCCTTGCAGGAAGATGCTGTGAGAAAAGGACTGGTTTAAAACCCAGTGAGAGCTTCTGGATTTGGTCCAGACATTGGCGCGTTACCCCACAACACTTCAGCTATTGTTCGAATGCTGCCTGGAGCTCTTGGCTCTGCCAGCCCCGAAATGTGCCATCCAGCTCCCAGCAGCCCGGGCAGCAGCAGAGCGGTCCTCGGCCACCTTTGGGCTCCCCTGTACGTGTCTGACCTCCGCAGCATCCTGGGGCAGCGGGATTCAGCATTTAATAACGCAACGTGAAGAAACAGTCCCTTTCATTTGTGGTAAACCTACCGTCAGGGCAAACTGACTATGTGCCCCTGTCTTAGGAGCCGCAGTGAATGATTGCTCGTTCGTTGCCTCCCCGTTTTGTGATTTCAGAGCCCTCGGCTTTGTCCCCTCTCCCAGGACGGCCAGCAGACATCTGCTCCCGCTCGCCGAGTGAGGAAGCGGCTGACATTTGCCGGGGAGGCCGGAGGTTGCGACTCGACTCGCCGCAGGATGAAGAACATGTCATCCCACTGACGGCAAGACACGGGAACAAGTGAACGCAAGCTGGAGCTGCAGGCGGGCCGTGGTCAGGGATCGATCAGTCAGGGATCAGTCAGCCCCGCAGGTTCCCCCAGGGCTTGGTGTGGTGCCAGAGCTCCACATGCCCAGCAGAGCATGATGCAAGGCTTGGCACAGCACCCAGCACAACTGGCTCCCGTGAGGGTCTCCTGAGGACCCAGCTCCCCACGCAGAGCTCTGTGCCAGGGCGCCGGCACCCTGCGAGGTGCTCGCGTGTCTTCAGACACAGCCTGCTCCAGCTCAGCCGCACAGCCCGGCGCCGAGGGCACCGCAGGGTTTTGTAGTTTCAGAGCACCTGGTGTACAGAGGAGCGGGAGAAGACGCTTTCCATTGCACTGATGAAACAGTTTCTGCCCACCCTTAGCTGCACTTTGGCTGCAGCCAGAGCAAGGACGGTGGCAGGAGGGGACTGTCCCTACACTGACACCAGGTTGGGGTACTGTAGCCTGCAGCAAGGTATCGTTGTGTGCTTCTGCTCTTTCGCCATCATTTCACAATCAGTTTTAACTGGTATAATCCATCCCCCTCCCTGCTGTCCCTTCCCTTGCTCTACACATGGGTGGGTGGCAGCAGGAACAGGGAAATTATTTGGGCAAACCCAAGTTGGGGTGGATCATGGCCTTCCAAGCTGATCGGCTGAGCCTGCCCGCTCCCATGCGCTGAGCTTCGCTTCCCTTTGCCGCAGAGGAGAAGGATTCAGCATCTGGAGAGTGGCTCAGACGGTGGGTGAAAGCCCAGACGGGGCCAGGGAGGTCTTTGACGTTCAGCCCTTTAGTCCCAGGGCCTTTGTGTCTGAACACAGCCAGACTCAAACGGCGGGGGACAGTGTGTCTGGGCTGCACCTGCACCCAAGGTCTCTCGACAATCCCCTCCCTGCTTGGACGTGCCCTGCACCACTCCCCTGCCCACATAGTTTGGATTCTTGGGCACGGCTGGCTCAGGGCAATGATGCAGTCTGGTGAGTTTGGACGCAGTGAATTGATTCAGGATGGATCTGAAGTTTTTCTACATCCTGGATGAGGCGGGATTGACGCAGGTTCGGTGATGTTTCATCCAGCTCCCAAATTGACCTGGTTTCCTTCCTGGCAGAAGAGCTATTACTGGCCCAGAGCGGTGCGTGAAGCTGCAGGACGAGTCAGGCGGCTCCAGGCATGTGCCATCACCCCCATCTCCGCCTGCGAGACGGGGTGTCTCTAACTATCCAAACCCAGGAGGGAGTGGCAGTGGTCCACAGGTCTTCCCTAGTTTAGAGAAGGTTTGGATGCAACCAAACCATTTCCATCCTCTCTCCCTGTACATTCCAAGGACCCTTCTGTCCCTTCAAGTGGGCTGTGTGCGTAGGGGCGCAGGGGACTCTGGTGACAGTCACCGGGTAGCGGATCCCATCTCCAGGTCAAGGCTGTAAGGAAGCCCAAGTCTGCATTTCTTGGAGAGCAGTGGCCCATTTCAAATGAAGCAATCAAGACACTCCTTGACTTTGGAAAGAAAAAGACATTATTTTCAAGATGGATTTAATGTCTGCAGGGCAAGTGGAAGCCTTTCACGGGGGTTCACCCTGAAGTCCCTGCCAGGAAAAGCAGCAGCTCTCCACATGTCAAGGGCTGCTTCTCTGAGCTGTGACAACTGCTGTGAGGGAAAGAACCAACTGACAGCACATCACCTTTGTAATCTTATGGCCCTGCTGCGCTTAAATCCCTTGTCTCCTGATCACCCTGCAGCCAGGAAATCACAGATCTGCTGGATCTGGATCCAGAATGATCACAAGACCTCCTCTGCCAAATTAGAGCACGAGAAGGTGTTTCTGGGCAGCTCTGTGCTTTCGCTGGAGGCTGAGGGACAGTCTGTCCCAGCCACCCCTTCTACCCACAGCAGGCTGGCTATGTCCCAGCTTAGGGTTTGTGCCGGTGGCTGCAGCATTTTGACCCAAACCGAGCCTTACCATCACATTGAATCCTGGTGTTGCCTTCAAATTGGTCCCTTGCATGGGTCGCTGAGGGCAGGAGGTGGC